TTATCGATTTTGCCGATCTATGCATAAAATCTGTACTATTGATTTTTTACTATAATACCTCGCATATGTTTGATTAACTAGTATATGAAATACCCCAATGTGATACGTAGACCAATTTCGTACGTAGTTTTATGGATTGATTGGGTGATCATTTCCTTTTGATTTAATTTTTACGTTACACTTGATCTTGTAGAGTGACCATCGGTTGGGAGAGAAATTACGGATGTTAATCCAATTTAGCACCGATGGTTCATTTAACAACACTTGTACACGTGATATGATGTCACGAAATAACTTTAATCGGGGTCGGGTTATAGATCACCCTTTAATTATTGGGGTAATTTATTATGTAACAATAATAAAGAAAATACAATACAAAAGAAAATAAGATAATTAACTAATAAAACAATGTAATACATAAATTCAAATACAACACTTGCGAGAATCCGATTATTATTATATACTCTATTACTAAGACATCGTAGTCTAAGATCCTGTCTCTCTGTCTAAGGAAACTATTAAGGCGAAAACTCAGGCTTTAATACATTTCAATTTACTAAGAGCTATTGCGCTATAACCTTCTAAGAATCCTTGCACTTGCAATAATTGCAACAATTGTGTTCAGGTTGCGAACAACTCGCGTAAGTAAAGCCACTCATAATATTGCTCACAATTTGCTCACGATTTTGCTCATAACAACCGGTTTTCTATACATCATCCGACCACTTCTATATAATGCTTATTGTATGATGGAAATAACCAACCACCGAAATTCTAGGCCTCCACCAGCAACCTAGGAGCCTCACAGTATTCTTGTGGCTTGGGCTATCTAAGCTTTTCATTACCATCTTCATCACGAGTTAAAATTTCAAACAGTTACAGTAGTGATTTCTTTTGGTAACTTCTATATCTCAAACACAATGAACACAATAATGGATTTTATTTTATTTTAGCTATCCCTACAACATGGTATGCGAGTTTGCGAGATAAACCATCAAGCTATTATGGAGTACAGTGTAAATTGCACGTTCGTTGTTCAAGTCTACGTCAAGAATGTCTAAAATGTTGTATCATGTCTATGGCGAAGATTGCAGTCACGTAATGTTGACCCAAAATTCATTAACATTCATTAGAAATTATAAAGTAAAATCGTTTAAGAAACCTTTTTGTTAGAGCATTAAAGATGTTTTTTGTGTAGATTTTTAAAAATAAGCGAGACAGCATAATAATCGAGTGGACAATATATTTAAGTGGTGTCACAAATCACAAATTCAATGATAGTTAAAAATTTAAGATAAGTACATGAATGAGTTCGGTAAAGGATGTCATGTTTAATAAGGAAAACGTTTTTAATTTTATTTTGCTATTTATTTAGGAACAGATTGATATTTGGGAGAACTTAGTATTGGTGTATTTTAAGAAGAAGCAAAAATTACAATTAAAATCAAGTAAAACTGGGTATTTTCTATTCTAATTGTTATTTGAATTATTTGAATTATTCGACTAATTCTTGAAATGGACGTACATAGTTAAGTAAAATCAGATTTTGCATTTTATAACGATCCATTTGGACTCTGAAAAGTCGTATTTTTTTTTATGAATAAGCAATAATTTGTGAATATTATATATAACAAATAACGCCGTCCTATCATAATAAGATTTTAGAACGAATGATAATAAGATTTGGAGATTCTAGCGATTTATGGAACAAACGTTTCTATTAATCAGACCTTTTGTAAAGAATATAAACCATTACAAAAGCATGTCGGCCTAAATATATTAAGAATGATGGAATGAAATTAGTCAATTTTTAATATATAGACATTATATGCAATTATGGCTTCACGTGAATTTAATTAATCGGTCATAAGAAATGTTAACGCAGTAAAATTTGTTAATTCATTTATTAATAGGCTGGAGCTGAGGAGAACGAAGTGGAAGCCTTAAAGCCATACCCTACGATTTTTTAGAAATATCCGGTTCCCGGTTCAGCTGGTCCTGATTTAGGTTCAGAATCCGAAAATTGAACCTAAAATTAGGTTCGATTTTGGATACTAAACCGTTAATTTAAAATGTAACTCCTGGCTTTAAAATCATTGTAGCAAAAATAACAAAAAATTTTTTTAGCAAACACATTGAATAAGAACATTGAATAAAATTAAATAAAATAAAATTTTGCAGCTGATCTTAAATACATGGGGTAAAGAATTTTTATATAAACGCATAAATCAAATAAATATGTATTTTTGATCGCAGGTGAAGAAAATTCGTTAAAATAAATAAGAAGAAACGAAATATGGCCTATTAAAGTGGAAGTAATAATGAGTGTCGAAATTGTAGTAATAATGTCTCTGGGGATATGTGGGCAATCGAGCACATCGATATAGTGTAATAAGTAATGGCGGATGAGATGATTAATTGAGTAATTAATTAAAATTATATATTAACATAAGAGAAATATATGGGAAATGACATAAATAATGTAATTCAAGAGTAATGTAAAAGTCAAAAAAAATAATAAATTAGTCGGGTTTCGTTCTAATTAATAAATCAATTTACATACTCTTACACAACTTATCTTTGGTATTGCACGGCTACAGAACAATACTGAATTGGATTTACAGTAAACAGCAATCAAGTAATACCAATCCAACCTATTGAATACACTTTGGAGGGAAATCTAGTTTTTGCTCTCGCATACAGTTTCTATTATGTCTTGCCTGGGCAATTACAATTTATAAATCACAAGGTTTGATATTACCACAAGCTGTTATAAACATTGAAAATAAAGAATTTATAGCAGGCCTTACATTTGTAGGTGTATCAAGGGTTCGTACCCTTAATTATTTTCTTTTTGATAGTGCATTCTCTTTTGACAGATTCCAAAAATTAGAACAGAGTCATGTTTGCAACAAAGGTTACTTTCTTTATGATTTTACTATAAATATAATATTAAAAATAATAGAAATTCGTAAAATCTAAATATGTACTATATTAAGTTTAATTCTATATAAATTATAAGACCTAAGAATTGAGGCTTCGGCTTATAAAATATCACCATTTTACTAGTAATTAATATATACATTATATACATATAAATGAATTTCTATATTTAATTATTACTGTTAATATTTAAAGTAGTTAAGTTGGCACTTTTGCGAACAGCAACTGCTAATTCTTCTGCATCTTCTGACCCAAGATTATTATTTCAGAGGGTCAGAGAATTTAACAAACGTGCTTTAGCAATTGCTTCTCTTTCACTTATGCCTGGTCCGATAGTATAGTATTACAAAAAACTATATGTTTATCCCTTAGTAATGCTAATTTAGACCTACTCCATGAACAAACTAAATTGCTCTCACACCACCTATACCAGCTTTGGCCATGACTTAAAACAGAAGAATGCTTCAGTTACATTTTTCGCCACCTTAGTACCTCTATTCTTGTAAGCCGAAATTACTCCTCATAGGCTTAGATCAGTCAAGGTATTGTTTTTGCGTGTCTTTTCGTGTCGTCATTTGCTTACTTTCACTGATGTTCGCTTTCTATTTTATGTCTGACACCTCTGCTTTCTTTATCTTTCTTCTGGCTGACTTCAATTCAGGTTTCTTAAGTTGTGTCGCTATGAGATTCAAAGATAACAAAATAAGTTGAGACAAAATATAATAATAATAACACAATAGCACTCGAACCTTAAGACTGTCTAGCAGGTAATTTTTACAATCGTGTAAAGAGAACTTTCATTGGGATTGGTATTTGCTAATTGCAAGGCAAAAATCGACTGAGGTAACTGCAGTGCCTTTGAACAACTTCCTTCTTCTTCGTATATTTTTCTGGCACCATTGTTGTCAGAAAACGTGATTTTCAATAAAGCTTGTTCTTCAAGGTTTAGTATTAGAAGTAATATTTCTATAAATCTTTCGTCTGTAAACAGATGTCTTGGTTTACTCTACGGTATGAGTATAATGATTGACAGTTTACAAAAATAAATTCTTAGAGACGCAACAAGAATTTAGTATGTCATACATATGTATGTATATTATTTGGTTTGTCGCAAATAAGAGGGAGTTTTGATTATGAAGGATTGTTGTTTGTTTAAGGAGCAAATTTAACATCGCTTGTAAAAAAACAATTCTATATATAATTGCAGTGGTGTTACACAAGGAGACAAACACTATGAGACAAAATACAATCTGGTTGGCTACTGCTATCCTATTTTTGTTACATAAATTTGAACATAATACGTATCCATTAAATATATTTGATCTACTGCCGTGTCTTGCTCAAGAACTCCATGAATAGTACCCATGGATACTGTGCGAAGAACCGGGTACTTTATTTGTGATATATCATTAAAAGTAGTGAATCAATATAGTAATACCCGGGTCTTATTTAAGAAACAGGATGGTAGGATGATGAATAATACCCGGGCCTTAATCATGGGGTATTATTGTATACAGTGATCAACGGCACTTTAATATATATATATATTATAATTTTCTTTGTTTAAATTAAACAATTTTTTTTATATTTTGAATCCGGAGCAACGCGACGGATCAGATGCTAATTACTTGTAAATATAACACGTATTGTATTATAAAACTGATTGATTACTAAACGGTTCGTAAATTAAGAATCATGTGCTTTATCTAAAATATAATATATATAATCGAATATATGTATTGATATTATGTGCGATATTAGATTAGGGTTTGGATAGGAATTCAGAGATTATTTACGTACGTCATTTAGGATAAGGGGCGTTTAAAGAAGTTAAAGGTCAGGTGTAATTTGTTTTATATATGTATATTATGTATTGAAAATATCTTAATAGGGTAAGTAGTTGCATGATAATAGGCAATGTATAACGTGAAAATATCAGTTTATGGATATATTAGTGTTAAAGAATTTATTTGTGTGTATATACTTACGTTAAGAGAAATAAAATTGTATTCTACTGGGTGTCCTATACACGGCCCATTTTTTTTAAAGTGATCTTTATATATAAATATCAGGAAATTTTTAAATTGGGTATATTTGTCAATTGATTGATTAAGATTAGAATCGATTCAGCAATTTGATTATAATCGATTGGATTAATATACAATCGATTTAATTTACAGCTATATACTTTCATATACTCTGGGATCTAGTAAAAAAACTTTATGATTCACGTATAAACCAATATATACATATATTTAATATATAGCGATAGTTACATGATTAACGTATCAGATAAGTTTGCATTCTTGTTTTGTCACAGTTAATCTTATTTTAGGTTTTACTGTCACTGACTCTTGTGGTATTGAGTGTCTTTGCTTCATTACGTTACAATCTTACTGTTGTGAAATTAGTACCTTGGTAATCGCTACATTGCTCTTGCTAATGTTTTTGCAGGAATCATTTGGCATTTCGTAAATCACGATAGAAATCACAAAAATTTCAATATATACTACACCTTTATGACGTATACGTCAGTGCGATAATCTGTAAGTTCTGTTTTACGATAGAAATGTTAATAATTAATACAAATTATCCCTACTTATCCACGTACACTGCATCACCATAATAGCTGTAACAGAATGTTTTACGATAAATTTTAATATAATTCACAATAATCCCAATGCAAATCAACTCAGAGCAATAGTCTGTAAGCTCTGTGGTGAAATTTTTTCTGTAAATCATGATATAAATGACGAACTAACTCTACCTTATCCACATCCAGTGTGTTCTCACAATGGTGAATAGATTCTGCAACTGGATTTTTTGCAGCAAATTTCGACCGAACTGAATTTATGATAATTCAGTAACGCCAATACAAATCTACACAACCTAGTGGAATATTTACAGCAAATCATAATGGAAACGATGGTCCATTACAAACTAATTCTACCTTATCTACATCCAGTGTTCCTCGTAATAATGAGTAGGTTCTACAACTGAATTTTCTGCAGTAGATCTTAATAGAATCTTGATAGAATTCACGATAATACAAATCATTTCAACTTTAATAACAAGTCTGTAAGTTCTGTAACAGAGTTTTTTACCGTATAATGATCCGATACAAATTAACTCTTCCTTATTTACTTCTAGTGTTATCTT